CAAATTCTATGGTGTGGATGGCTTGATAGACCATCACATCACCAAAACTGAACTGAAAGAAACAAAATCGTGTCATTTCTCCTTATGGAACACAATAATGAAACTAGCAAAGGAATTATCTACTCTGTTTTCTCTCTTGCCCTCATAAAGGGTTTTTACGATTTCCTATCCTTATGACAGTTCCAGTGGTCTGCTGATCCCAGACTTTATTATATTGCAATCTTCTTTACAGACAATGTTCCCATCAACCCATCATCGTTTGATTTAACCATGGTTAAAATGAGAACTGCTAGTTACCTCCTCTTCACCACCAGCATCGTGGTGCCCTCCCGGCAAGGGAAGACCACGATTATGGCGCCATCGAATGTAGAATGGTTTCACCAGCAACATGATTGGGATGGAAACAACGGCTAGTAGGAGAAGAATCTCCTCGATAAGCGCCTTCAAAAAAATTTTTATGAAATTTTTTGAAAATCTCCATCTATAAGCTGACCTGATTAGGATACCATTGCTGCAAGTAGCACTGATCATACACATCATAAGTGTAATTTTTACCATTGATTATCACTGATGCTGTAGCATTTTTGTAATTCACATGTTCAACGAATCCTGGCTAAATTAGGGGTCCTTAGCTGTGGTTTTCTTAAGGTGAAAGGGCTTTTGCAAAACTTACATCTCTAGGTTTGAGCATAAACATGTTGATGAGACCAATAAGTAGCGATGGGGCACAATTTGAACCTGGGTATAGTTGGCCGAATATGAAGGTGGGGTTCACATAGAAGTATATCCATTTAAGCACTACCTGAAGGAAAACAGGATAATGGACAATGTGATCTCAGAGGGTAAATGATTGCTTATGGGTTCCAGAGTTCTAGGTAAACCTGGTTAGCAAAAATTAGCGTTCAACTGACAAATTTTGCTACCCGGGTTTACCTAGAAGCATTTTTCTACTACCTAAGCGCTCAACCAATTCGTAAAAATGAGATAACTGTATGTGCTTTATTTGAAAGAAAGTAGTAAGAATTTTTGAGTTGTCGTTAGAGTTTCTTGCTACTAAAGGGCTTAATGATAGAGAGCCAACACAATTTCTTGCTGCTACCGGCGAAACGGAAGCGCGTACTCTAGTTTGTTATTCCGGGGACCAGTTCTCGCTTTTTTATACTTGATTTCAACTTCCTTCAATAGTGAACACTTACCATAACGCACAAATACACAAAAATACATCCCAGGAAGAAGCATTGTGGAAGAAATACGAAGAAGATATCAACTAAGGAGCTGTTATGTCTGAAAAGAGCCATTCAATTATTTCAATTCGCTATTACATTTATAGCTTAATGGAACTCACATATGATTGCATAGGGAGAG